AGTTATTATTAAGCATTATTATTATTATTATAATTATTATTAATTTAGGTAACTAGAGCACAGATCCAATTCCCTAGATCAAGAGCCCCTCACCAGCGTCAAGGTTCCTTGACGCTGGTGAGGGGCTCTTGATCTAGGGAATTGGATCTGTGCTCCAGTTACCTTAATGATGATGATAATAATAATTAATAATAATAATAATAATATTACTATTTTTATTATTATTATTATAATAGAGCTTCAGTTCCCTGAATTAATAATACATAATACGTACTTAATAATAATTCAGAATGCTGCCGCTAGTTAGCACAGCTGATGCCAAAGCATCCAGTAAGCAGTACACGTTTACATCGATGTAGGAGTAATTCTCCTAGCTACCAAATTATATTTAATTTTCCCGCCACCTGCGCGTCCCTACTACCCTCCCTCCGACCCCCACAACTGGTAGCCAGCCTGCCCACCACTCACTCAGTGTGGTGAGTGTTTTGTTTGTTCATTATTTGATATTAAACTACAGTATAAATAATGTCAACCTATTCATGACTGCATATTGGAATGATCATTCAGACAGGTATTGGACAGTGACATCATTGATTTACTCTTGAACACAGCAAAGAATTGAATATTTCTACTACTGCTAATAATAATAATAATAATAATAATACGATAGAATTAAAGAATGAAATTGTACAAAAATACACGGGTTGAAGCAGTGGTTGAGGCATCGTGAGTCAGTGTGGCTTTGTTTATGCTGGAGTGAGCATTAGCCTCCGTGCTCTTCCAAACATTTCACAATAATTCATTGTGTTTGGTGCTTGTAGATTGAGTGTGACTGCTATATAATTAACCATGGGCCCAAAGAAACTTGCAAATGAGAGCCCTTTGGTAAAGAAATTGAGAAACACGATAGAATTGAAGAAAGAAATTGTACAAAAATACGAGGCAATGTGCCGCAGTGGTTGAGGCCGTGGTTGAGGCAGTGGTGGAGGCAGTGGTTGAAACAGTGGTAACTGGTAGCTGTTATTAAACCGTAACATGTATGTATATAGCACAATGTTTTATGATGTTTTCATGTATTTTATGATTGTTCATGGTTCAATAGGTTAAGGAAGCATATTGTATTATATTTCCCTACAATATATTGGGGCACCAAACATTCACGATTTTTCAACATTCGCAAGGTTCTTGATCCCCTAACCCTCACGAATGTTGAGGGAGACCTGTAAACAGTTTAACATTTCTTTACATTCTATAGTGTTTTATGATTTACAGTGGACCCCCGCATAGCGACCTTAATCCGTGCAAGAGGGCTGGTTGTTATGCGAAATGTTCGGTATGCGAATGAATTTTCCCCATAAGAAATAATGGAAATCAAATTAATCCGTGCAAGACACCCAAAAGTATGAAAAAAAAAATTTTACCACATGAAATATACATTTTCCTACACACAAAGAGAAGGATACATGCACAATAGTAGAGTAGTACATGCACAATATATATTGTGCATGTACTACTCTACTAAATGAAGAATAAATGACACTTACCTTTATTGAAGATGCAGCAATGACTGATGAGACACTGTGTCCTGGGAGTGCCTTTTCCTCCTGAGTACTGTAGGTCCTGTTTGGCATTTTCTTCCAGAACAGGCCTTATCACACTGTGTATGCCACTACGATTCTTAAATCTCTGAAACCAACCTTTGCTGGCTTTAAATTCACCAATATGAGCACTAGTTCTAGGCATTTTTCCCTGTTCACCTGGGTGTTAGTCGACTGGTGTGGGTTGCATCCTGGGAGACAAGATTAAGGACCCCAATGGAAATAAGTTAGAGTCCTCGATGATGCACTGACTTTCTTGGGTTATCCTGGGTGGCTAACCCTCCGGGGTTAATTGTTTCTCGGTAATTGTTTCACGTTAAGCCACACCAACAACACTCTCTCCACATCTTCGAGTAATACAGCTGATGGTGGTGCAGCAACAACAACAGCTGTGGTGCAGCAGCAGCTGGGTGCAGCTGCAGCTGTGGTGCAGCAGCAGCTGTGGTGCAGCAGCAGCTGACTGTGGTACGATAGTATTTATCACCCTTTTTACCACAGGGTTGGCACTAGAAGCTTTCTTTGGGCTCATGGTGGCTTATTTAGCAGTTACAAGCACTATAAATAATGGAATAATACAAAATGTATCGAATGTATGCATGCAACCGGCCACCCTGGCTTGTAAACACTGACGGCAAGGCAGGCGCTCAGGCTGGACGGACAGGTTCGGGACAGGTTCAGGACGAGTCATGTACAGAGACAGCTGATGGTGCAACAGCAGCTGACTGGTCCAGCAACAGCTGACTGATCCAGCAACAGCGATTCTTAAATCTCTCAAACCAACCTTTGCTGGCTTTAAATTCACCAATATGAGCACTAGTTCCAGGCGTTTTTCCCTGTTCACCTGGGTGTTAGTCGACTGGTGTGGGTTGCATCCTGGGAGACAAGATTAAGGACCCCAATGGAAATAAGTTAGACAGTCTTCGATGACACTGACTTTTTTGGGTTATCCTGGGTGGCAAATCCTCTGGGGTTAATTGTTTCTTGGTATTCTCAATAAGCCACACCAACAACGGTGCTACAGCAGCAGCAGCAGCTGACGGTGGTACAGCAGCAACAGACGATTCTACAGCAGCAACAGACGATGCTACAGCAGCAACAGACGATGCTACAGCAGCAGCAGACGATGCTACAGCAGCAGCAGACGATGCTACAGCAGCAGCAGACGATGCTACAGCAGCAGCAGACGATGCTACAGCAGCAGCAGACGATGCTACAGCAGCAGCAGACGGTACTACAGCAGCAGCAGCAGCTGACGGTGGTACAACAGCAGCAGCAGCTGACGGTGGTACAGCAGCAACAGACGATGCTACAGCAGCAACAGACGATGCTACAGCAGCAACAGACGATGCTACAGCAGCAGCAGACGATGCTACAGCAGCAGCAGACGATGCTACAGCAGCAGCAGACGATGCTACAGCAGCAGCAGACGATGCTACAGCAGCAGCAGACGGTACTACAGCAGCAGCAGCAGCTGACGGTGGTACAACAGCAGCAGCAGCTGACAGTGCAGCAGCAGCAGCAGCTGTACCACCAATAGTAGCGATGGTTGATTGGGGTTTATTATACAACCTGGCCAGCTCGGAGACACGCACTCCACTTTCATACTGATCAATGATCTTTTCTTCATCTGTATAGTAATTCTCACCCTTATTGCTGTAGGGTTGGCACTAGAAGCTTTCTTGGGGCCCATGGTCACTTATTTTCCAGAAAAAATCACCAGAAACACTGTAATAATACGAAATGTTCCGATTGTATGCTTGGATGTTACCACGGAGGCTGGCTGGTAAACAATGCCACCGGCGGAACATGTGAGCATGGCTCAGGCCGCACATTGGACGCGTCTCGGACGAAGGGCGGTGAGCGGGTTTTTGGGCGGTATGCGAGGCAAAATTTTTGCGATCAAAGCGTCCGGTATGCGGATTGTACAGTATGCGATGCGTACGGTATGCGGGGGTCCACTGTATTATGTTTTTATATACGATATTTCTGCAATTAGCCTCACAAATATTCCATTTTCTCTTATAATAAGAGCATGGGAAGATACTATAATCAAAGTTAGACAGGAAATGGCGGACGCCTCTGCCGCTGCATTAATTATATTGTTTATTATGTCATATTAAATGAATTGCGATAGATAAATAAGCCATACAGTTGATATTAGTGTCATATTCAAGTATTTTGTCTAGTCTCCAGAGTGCAGGAATGGATTAATGGCTTTTCAATGAATTTAAATGAGGAAAATTGATTTGATACATGTATACGAGAAAATTGAGTTATGAGCTAGGTCACGGAACGGATTAAACTCGTAAGTCAAGGTTCCACTGTATATATTTCTAGACGATAGTATATGACTAAAATAGGTGAAAATGTTCACCTCTCAATGTTGTACAGTTATTGTGTAGTATACAAGTGTATCCAAAATACAGGCCATAAAAGTTACTTGAAAAAATAAAATGTTAAAAAATAAAAGAAAAAAGTAGAAAAATAATAAACTATTACTGTGTGACTGGCAGTCAGTGATGTTGCCGTAAGCAGCTCACTTTCTATCCACTTCACGCCTCCATATCTCGGCAAGTATTGCTTGCAATTTTTTTTTTTTTGGCCTATAACACTCACAAAAATATGCTCTATCATTTCATAAGAATTTTTTTTTTTTTTTGGAACATTTTTCGACCCTGAGAACAAGTTTGGGAGAGGGCCTGTCGACCCTCAAAGGGTTAAAACCCCTGGAGAAGGTGTATTGGTAGCATATTTATTAAGTGTGTTGGAGGGAACACCCCAAGATTAGTGAGATGTTTATTATATTAATGGGAAAATTTGAAACCTATAAGGGTCATAAAGTGCCTGGAGAATAAGACATAATCAGTGTAATTGTGGCTTCATGGACCTAAGGATTGTATACATATAGCAAACTGACATGCAGTGATGACCAAAGGATTGTATACATGTTGCAAACTGACATGCATTGATGACCGAAGGATTGTATACATGTTGCAAACTGACATGCAGTGATGAAATAATACACCATGTAGATTAAAGGTCCAATACCATGCAAAATGATCAGGAATATGGAACTTTCTACCTGATAATGCAAAATAGTTCCCCATATGTCTGCTTCAATATTGTCACTATTATGGTTCTACTGCTTATTTACTAAAACCAAAATTTTCAGTCCAGTAGCAATTAGTTTCTTCATATCACATGTTATATTAACTTAGCATGCTAGTAATCTAATCTTTACTTGTGTAATATAAATTAGTACTAAGCATAAGATCTATGTGATCAATTTGTATTATTTAGTTCTAAGCTTAGTCTAAATTTGCCTAAAAGGCTGTGCCTACTGTGGTCTTTTTTAATTTTTTATATGATATTTGTCTAATGTTTTGAACTTTTCTCTTGCAGGAACTTCCTTTGTTACCAAGTAACACATTACCACAAGAGTCCATGGAAAATGAAGATAAAATAAACAAGAAATCTAGGTCAAAAAGTCCAAATTCAGAAAGTAGAGACACAGCATCGTATGAATACACACCAGCACAGCAATCTTGCTTGCCAGCTCTTTTACCTTCATCAGATTCAGAAGTTGTGGAAGAAGAGAGAGAAGAAGAGCAGCAGCAAGTGACCCAGATTATTACACTGAGCCCTGAGCAGTATGCTGCACTCACAGGTAAATAATAATAGGGATCAGTGCATTTGTTAAGACCATACATTTGGGGGACACTGGTACATGAAATGTCTGGGAAAGTTTCTATATATGCCCATCCTTTCCAGATTCAGTAAAGCATTGAAGAATGTTTATATGAGCCCTGAGCAGTATGCTGCATTCACAGGTAAATAACAGTAGGTATCATTCCATTTATTAAGACCATATATTTGGGAGGCACTGGTACATGAAATGTCTGGGAAAGATTCTATACATGCCCATCCTTTCCAGATTCAGTAAGGTATTGAAGAATGTTTATATTTGCATATTTCCCCAACTGTATTTCTTTGTATAGGTTATTATTATTTACTGGGTGGGCTAAATTGGGATGACCTAACTATGGATCAGGGAGGCAATCTTGGTTGCCAATATGATGTTTTTTAGAGCATAGTTCTAGTTGCTCAGACAACTTATGTCATTTAGAGAGAATGGATCAAAGTAGAATGACATGGAAAGCATATAAACCTATAGGGGAAGGAAGGCGGGGTAGGGGTCGTCCTCGAAAGGGTTGGAGAGAGGGGGTAAAGGAGGGTTTGTGGGCAAGGGGCTTGGACTTCCAGCAAGCGTGCGTGAGCGTGTTAGATAGGAGTGAATGAAGACGAATGGTACTTGGGACCTGACGATCTGTTGGAGTGTGAGCAGGGTAATATTTAGTGAAGGGATTTAGGTAGGGTGTGCAAAAGAAGAAAATTAAAGGTGAATACAGGAAAGAGTAAGGTTATGAGGATAACAAAAAGATTAGGTGATGAAAGATTGAATATCAGATTGGAGGGAGAGAGTATGGAGGAGGTGAATGTATTCAGATATTTGGGAGTGGACGTGTCAGCGGATGGGTCTATGAAAGATGAGGTGAATCATAGAATTGATGAGGGAACAAGAGTGAGTGGTGCACTTAGGAGTCTGTGGAGACAAAGAACTTTGTCCTTGGAGGCAAAGAGGGGAATGTATGAGAGTATAGTTTTACCAACGCTCTTATATGGGTGTGAAGCATGGGTGATGAATGTTGCAGCGAGGAGAAGGCTGGAGGCAGTGGAGATGTCATGTCTGAGGGCAATGTGTGGTGTGAATATAATGCAGAGAATTCGTAGTTTGGAAGTTAGGAGGAGGTGCGGGATTACCAAAACTGTTGTCCAGAGGGCTGAGGAAGGGTTGTTGAGGTGGTTCGGACATGTAGAGAGAATGGAGCGAAACAGAATGACTTCAAGAGTGTATCAGTCTGTAGTGGAAGGAAGGCGGGTAGGGGTCGGCCTAGGAAAGGTTGGAGAGAGGGGGTAAAGGAGGTTTTGTGTGCGAGGGGCTTGGACTTCCAGCAGGTATGCATGAGCGTGTTTGATAGGAGTGAATGGAGACAAATGGTTTTTAATACTTGACGTGCTGTTGGAGTGTGAGCAAAGTAACATTTATGAAGGGGTTCAGGGAAACCGGCAGGCCGGACTTGAGTCCTGGAGATGGGAAGTACAGTGCCTGCACTCTGAAGGAGGGGTGTTAATGTTGCAGTCTAAAAACTGTAGTGTAAACCACCCTTCTGGCAAGACAGTGATGGAGTGAATGATGGTGAAAGTTTTTCTTTTTCGGGCCACCCTGCCTTGGTGGGAATCGGCCAGTGTGATAATAAAAATAATAAAAATAAATTTAGGGAAACCGGTTATTTTCATATAGTCGGACTTGAGTCCTGTAAATGGGAAGTACAATGCCTGCACTTTAAAGGAGGTGTTTGGGATATTGGCAGTTTGGAGGGATATGTTGTGTATCTTTATACGTATATGCTTCTAAACTGTTGTATTCTGAGCACCTCTTCAAAAACAGTGATAATGTGTGAGTGTGGTGAAAGTGTTGAATGATGATGAAATATTTTCTTTTTGGGGATTTTCTTTCTTTTTTGGGTCACCCTGCCTCGGTGGGAGACAGCCGACTTGTTGAAAAAAAAAAAAATGATTCCAAATGGATGAACAATAGATTAAAATATCTCGTTGGTCAAAAGAGAGGCATATATAGGCATATCAAAAGAGGGGATGGGCAGTTAAGAAATCAACATATACAGGTTTAGCGCTACCCCCTTGATTATAATAATAATAATAATAATTAAAGAGAGAAAAAAAAGGAATAAGAAAAGCAAAAAAGGATTATGAGGCTAAGGTCGCAAGGGATTCGAAGATTAACCCGAAAGGGTTCTTTCAGGTATACAGAAGTAAGATTAGGGACAAGATAGGCCACTTAAGAGTAACTCAGGTCAGATCACTGACAGTGATAAGGATATGTGTGAAATTTTCAATACTTCCTCTCATTTTTCACCCAGGAAAATACTAGCGAAATTCCTGAAATACAGTGGACCCCTGGTTAACGATATTTTTTCATTCCAGAAGTATGTTCAGGTGCCAGTACTGACCGAATTTGTTCCCATAAGGAATATTGTGAAGTAGATTAGTCCATTTCAGACCCCCAAACATACACGTACAAACGCTCCTACATAAATACACTTACATAATTGGTCGCATTGGGAGGTGATCGTTAAGCGGGGGTCCACCGTAATAGATTATGTAGAACAGGACGATAATAAACTATGCACGATTGTGGTAACTAGTGACATGGTCCTCAGACAAACAGAGAAATTAAAACCTAACAAATCCCCAGACCCTGATGAACTGTTTGCAAGGGTGTTAAAGGAATGTAAAGAGGAACTTAGCATACCTTTGGCTAATCTTGTCAACATATCACTACAAACTGGCATAGTGCCTGATAAGAGGAAAATGGCAAATGTAATACTACCTATTTACAAGGCAGGTGACAGGTCCTTAGCTTCGAACTATAGACCAATAAACCTTACCTCCATAGTGGGAAAATTTATGGAATGAATAATTGCTGAAGCAATTCGTAGCCATCTTGAGAGGCATAAATTGCTTAATGAATCTCAACACAGTTTTACAAAGGGGCATTCCTGTCTTATGAATTTACTAACTTTTTTTCACTAAGGTGTTTGAGGAGGTAGATCATGGTAATGAATATGATATTGTGTATATGGACTTCAGTAAGGCTTTTGATAGAGTTCCACATCAGAGGCTATTGAGGAAACTTAAGGCACACTGAATAGGAGGAGACATTTTTTCCTGGGTAGAGGCATGGCTGACAAATAGGCAGCAGAGAGTTTGCATAAATGGGGAGAAATCAGAATGGGGGCACCTCACAAGCGGTGTTCCGCAGGGGTCAGTGTTGGGCCCATTGTTGTTCACAATTTACATAAACGACATAGATGAGGGAATAAATAGCAACATAAGCAAATTTGTAGATGAATGGTTCAGAGAACCGACACGTTGATAAATTAGACACGTGCAGCTCAGAGTTGCACTTGTGTCTAATTTATCATAAGCAAATTTGCTGATGACACCAAAATAGGCCGGCCAATTCATTCTAATGAGGACACTAGAGCACTCCAGGATGATTTGCATAGACTAATGCAATGGTCGGAGAAGTGGCAGATGCACTTTAATATAGACAAATGCAAAGATCTAAATGTTGGACAGGAAAATAACCATGCCACATATAAACTAAATACAGTGGACCCCCGCATACCACACGCATCGCATACCGTACAATCCGCATACCGCTCGCTTTTTTCACAAAAGTTTTGCCTCGCATACCGCCCAAAAACCCGCTCACCACCCTTTGTCCGAGACGCGTCCAATGTGCGGCCTGAGCCACGCTCACATGTTCCGCCGGTGGCATTGTTTACCAGCCAGCCTCCGCGGTAACATCCAAGCATACATTCGGAACATTTCGTATTATTACAGTGTTTTTGGTGATTTTTTCTGGAAAATAAGTGACCATGGGCCCCAAGAAAGCTTCTAGTGCCAACCCTACAGCAATAAGGGTGAGAATTACTATACAGATGAAGAAAAGATCATTGATAAATGAAAATGGGGGTGGTGTCTCCCAGTGGCCAGGTTGTATAAAAAAACCCAATCAAAACCCTCGCTACTATTAGTGGTACAGCTGCTGCTGCACTGTCAGCTGCTGCTGCACTGTGAGCTGCTGCTGCTGTTGTACCACCGTCAGCTGCTGCTGCTGTTGTACCACCGTCAGCTGCTGCTGCTGCTGTAGCATCGTCTGCTGCTGCTGTAGCATCGTCTGCTGCTGCTGTAGCATCGTCTGCTGCTGCTGTAGCATCGTTTGCTGCTGCTGTAGCATCGTCTGCTGCTGCTGTAGCATCGTCTGTTGTTGCTGTAGCATCGTCTGCTGCTGCTGTAGCATCGTCTGTTGCTGCTGTAGCATCGTCTGTTGCTGCTGTCCACCGTCAGCTGCTGCTGCTGCTGTAGCACCGTTGTTGGCGTGGCTTATTTTTAGAATACCAAGAAACAAATTTAACCCCAGAGGATTTGCCCCCCAGGATAACCCAAAAAAGTCATTGTCATCGAAGACTGTCTAACTTATTTCCATTGGGTCCTTAATCTTGTCTCCCAGGATGCAACCCACACCAGTCGACTAACACCCAGGTGAACAGGAAAAATGCCTGGAAAATAGTGTCATATTGGTGAATTTAAAGCCAGCGAAGGTTGGTTTGAGAGATTTAAGAATCGTAGTGGCATTCACAGTGTGATAAGGCCTGTTCTGGAAGAAAATGCCAAACAGGACCTACAGTACTCAGGAGGAAAAAAGGCACTCCCAGGACACAGTGTCTCATCAGTCATTGCTGCATCTTCAATAAAGGTAAGTGTCATTTATTCTTCATTTAGTAGAGTAGTACATGCACAAATATATTGTGCATGTACTACTCTACTATTGTGCATGTATCCTTCTCTTTGTGTGTAGGAAAATGTATATTTCATGTGGTAAAATTTTTTTTTTCATACTTTTGGGTGTCTTGCACGGATTAATTTGATTTCCATTATTTCTTATGGGGAAAATTCATTCGCATACCGAACATTTCGCATAACAACCAGCCCTCTTGCACGGATTAAGGTCGCTATGCG